GCGATGCTGCTCCCATCGGGGCTCCAGCAGATGCAATGAACAAGACCGGTGTGGCCCTCCAGCACCCTGAGGCGCTCCCCAGTTGCGGCGTCCGAAATTGCCACCCTCTTGTCATCTAACATTGTCGCCAGTTTGCTCCTGTCGGGGCTCAAGACCCTTCCTTCAAGACGCCCATCAATATAGTCCCGTGGCATGATGCTCCAGGGGATCCAGCCCTTCACAACGCTGAGACGCTCCCCTGTCGCGGCGTTCCAGATGGCGCCTTTGGGGGGGCCTAAAAAACTAATTGTCCCTGTCGACAGTCTGCTCCCGTCAGGGTTCCACCCAATAATCGTATGATCTAAGGTACCCTCCAGCACCCTGAGGCGCTCCCCCGTCACGGAGTCCCAAAGCGCGCACGTGTTGTCAGCTGACGCCGTGGCAACTTTGCCCCCCTCAGGGCTCCAGGCGATGAATCTGACATTTGCGGTGTGGCCACGCAAGCTCTGTCCATGCTTGCTAGCTTGCTCGATCTGGGCCCTTCCGATTGCAACTGTGCACTTCTTTGTCGCCTCCAATCTAGTCCCAGAGAGCAGCCCCTCAAAGATGCGGCTTATGTCGTCATACCTGCCAGCCAGCTGGGCCATTTACTCTGACCTCCTATCAATGCGGTGTATTTGATGCGCCGTGATGGCAGCCAGTCGTGCATACATGCGTTCTTTAGCATTCTTCAGAGCTGGTTGGAAAGCCTGAGAGGCTCCCATCCGCTTGTAGAATGGTTTTGCTAGCCACCGGTAAACTGCCATTGTTGCTTCTTGAACTGCATCTACCGCTAACTGCAAATTCAGCGCCATGCTTCTGTTGAGGTCTTCATCCTCAAAGTGCCTTGCCTCTTTTAGTATGTCTCTAATAAAAGGGGCCTTGGCGGCCACCTCGTCCACAATCATCTGACATTTATGATTGTTCTGGTCCGCTGCTGCCACGGCTGCCTGCAGCATCTGAACGGCAGAGATTAGCTTTTTGGCTGCAGAATTTGCCAGCGCTACCTCCATTGCACATGCCAGTGAGTCTGAGCGTCAGATGAGCGCCGAAATGACCGAGATAACTCACAGTGCACTGCCCCATTCCCTGAACGCCCTTCACGTGCACCTAAGGGGGCTCCCGCTGACCGAAGCGGCCGCGTCGCACCTGCTCGCCGGGCCGTAAACCCGACCGACGGTTTATATTGGGCGCGCGGTCTCAATACAGCCCCTAAGTAGAAAAAAGAAAAAAACTCTTCTTTATTACCATTTTCGCCCTTTTCTTACATCGTTATATGGCTTGAAAGAGGGTGGTGATGTGGGTGTGGGTGTGGGTGTCAAAAGTGGACTCCAGGCTATAATGATGCAGGTAATCTGCAACTGGTTCGCCAATGCGACATCCTTCATTGCAGACTGCCTATGCTGCCGCGACAGAGATCGACCTCCCGCCCCTGCCCCTGCCCCTGCCCCTGCCCCTGCCCCTGCCCCTCCCCCGCCTCCCACCATTCAGATTGGAACGTTTGAGGTCCGAGACAAGGCTGTATTGACAGAATTTGATCGGCTGGGGGACGGCCATGGGGGTGGATGTCGTATCTCGTTATCCGGGCCACACGCTGACCATACGGGAGGCGGTGCAAAACGGCTACGCCTCGTGTGATCGTGGTTGATCCAGATTATACCTGGACGGGAGTCATGTGCATCGTACTTGGGCGGGCCATCTGTGCAGCAACAGCAGCCAACTGGGCTGTGTTATGCTGATCACGCCTGATCATTACGGCCAACTTGATTGCGTCATTTCCTTGAGTCAAGGCTGCTGGCTCTGCAGCAATCATTGCAGTCTGCTCTGACTCTGGTCTTGACTTGCATCATTCTACGTCCAAATAACTGTGGTTATGACAGGCATCATTCATGTCGCCAGATGACTGTGGTCATGACTTGCATCATTCTATGGTCCACATGACTGTGGTCATGACGAGCTTCAGTCTTTAGTCCAAATGACTCTGGTCTTGACTTGCATCATTCTACGTCCAAATGACTGTGGTTATGACCAGCATCATTTATGTTGCCAAATGACTGTGGTCATGACTTGCATCATTTCATGGTCCACATGGCTCTGGTCAAGACTTGCATCACTTAGGCTTTCAGGATTTCTTAGATTAAAGGTGTACTAATGGCGGGCTCAACGGTGCAGAATGGGTTGGTTAAGGTGGCAAAAGTGGGTTTTAGGGTACCCTGTCGTTTAAAGACAGAAGCGACATCTGGGGGACACATCCGGTTCGGGGGGAGTTCTGCATGATTCACGGACAGGGGATGATGATTGCCGAGGGTGTTCATGAGGGGGAGCGCCCCAAATTTCCACATTTCCCCTTCCAAATTAACCTCAATTTTTGTTTGGCAGTAGTTTCAGACTGTGTGCCACGGTTGAGTGACCCTTTCCGAATCTGTCGGGGAAAGAGTTTCTGACAGCTGTAACCCTAAGAGAGGCACCCATTTGCAAGCTTCTAGACTAACTTAGACTTCCTAACCCTTGTCAAACTAAGGCCCTACATTCTCAAAACAAAACAAAATTCTTTAGGACACTGAGCAGCTAAAGTCTTTAGGCAGCATCTCCGAGTCATTAGATGAAGTGTTGGATCCGCCGGTCCACTCCCGATTATCTCGAGGATATAGCTCCCGCTCTTGCGCTCAAATATCTGCTGGCGCATCTGAAACCTTCTGCAAACTTATTTCCTTTACCCCCCCCCTGATTCAGATGCTGTTTTCTGGTTGATCAGGCCCAAAGATGGCTTTCCTTCTTGGAGTCACCTGGTGTCTTCCACCTGGAGGCCATGGCTACACGGTTGCTGCGGGTTCATGGTATGGGACTGTAATAACAAGCACACACACACCCACTGAGGACATTGTTCTGAGTGTGACAGGGGACCATCTATTGCGCGCCTGCCGGAAGGGGAAGCAGCCTCTGCATGGGAGAAACTGCAATTTGCACGTTACTATTTAGCAGTCCCTTTACTTGTGCTTGATTGTCTGACAGCTGGCTGTGGGCTTTTTGTGGCCCTGCTCTTCTTTCTATTCTACTTCATTCTTGAGCCATCAGGAAAGAACCTGGCAATTGCAATTGCCATGAGCATTGTTTTGGTGCTAGAGCTTGTGGCCATCAAGTACGGCGGCCTTGATATGAGTGGCCTCAAGATCAGGTACTACCTGTCATCCGAAGTGGTTGGCACAGCTAAGATCCCTGGGATGTCGTGGGATTCATCCACGCAACAGATGTACTACAAGGGGAAGTTGTTGGAAGCTGTAGATTCTGCAGGGAAGGTTCAGCTTCCTGCAAGTGGAGTTTGAGAGGCCCCTCAAAGAAAAGCAGAGAGAGACCTTTTCGCCATAAGATTATTCGAATGTGGAGCATCGAAGCAACTTGTGAGGGAATGAAAGTCCATGGTTGCTCGAGATGTGCAACCTGAGATTTCTAGCGAATTTCACATCAGGTGTTGTATTGTTGCACGTAATTTAGATGGTTGGTAAATAAACAATTTGTGTCGCAATGAAGGGGGAAAGAGGATTTTGTTAGGCTTAGGCAATTGGGAACATATCCTGATTGCCTGATGTAGGACATTTTCTTGATCAGTCCCTGTGTTATTCTGATAGGGACACGGTCACCATCATGTCCCGCCATTGCCTGATGTTGAACATGTTCAACATCATTCCAGACTTTTGCCTGATGTGTGACATGCTCACCATCATTCAGACCCTTACATGTCGTGTAATGTAGTCAATGTGTCTAAAGAGTACCAGTATATCGTTGTGGATGCACACCGCTCACAGTAAACATCACACAGCATGCTTTGTATCTTCCTGAGGGAGACATGTTTACGGGTCATCTCTTCCCCTTTCTTGACATGGAACATGTTCACCATCATTTCCGTCATGGGCCCCCTTGTCGGCCACCTCATCCGTCGTTGCAAGATATGAGCGGAAAGATGGATACCAAGCCAGATGCACGTTGGCGGCAAGCTACGATATCATTTCCAAAATTTCCAATCGCGCACACCGGACAGACGGGCCCACAGAATATGGCGGAATATCCAATATTAAAGTGCGTCTGCGATGCTCTTTTCTGGCTTCCTCTTATCCTATCCCCCGGCATCTGTCAATATACCCGCACGTGCCGACAGAGTGCAGATTACATGGACCGCATGCCGTGAAAGACTGGATGTTCTTTTTGAAGCATGCATTGCGGCGGCTGAGCCTGCTAAACGCTTGAACCTCTGCTTGGCCCTAGGGAGCACACGCAGACGCTCGCCGGTGGTTGCATCCCAAACTCGGGGTACACAGTACACCAGCTAATGTAACAGTGACCATTTTGACTGTTAACTCATCAACAAGGTATTTCCCGAGACGTAAGATTTGAGTTATAGTAGCATGCAAAGGAGTATGGACTAGTAATAGTCAGTTCCTGGTTGATTTTGTCAATGCCTTGTCTAAGATTATGGATAGAGACCACCGTGACTCCCTGTATCCTTAAACATGTTTGCAGACATTGTCACTCACTGCATGACACTGAACATGTTTGTAGCATTTTTCACCTTGTGCATGACACTAAACATGTTTGCAGACATTTTCACTCACTGCTTGACGCTGAACATGTTTGTAGCATTTTCACCCCCTTGCTTTGGCTTTAGGGTCTTAGGGTTGGGCAATGTGGAACATATTCTGCTTCATTCGTTGCCTGAATCTGATGTAGGACATGTTCTTAATCAGTCCCTGTTCTGGTCTGATAGGGCATGTTCATCATCATGTCTTGCCATTGCCGGATGTGGAACATGCTCACCATCATTCGACACTTTATGCCTAATGTGTGACATGCTCACCATTATTCAGACACTTACATGACGTGTGATGTGGTCAATGTGCGTTCATTTTGCTCATTTTGTCTCAACTGAACCAAAAGGACAGAGCCCAACGTATTGCTGCACTGGAGCTGGCGCTATGAGGCAGGTTTAGGATTTTAGTGTTTCTTGCATACTTCATGTATCACGCTATTTTGAAAGCGGACCGTCAAGCAAATGTGGCCAAGGGGTATTTATCCTTCACCATGTCCTCCTCAGCGTTGGCCTCCTCCCCGGTGCCGGAGCGCACGCCCCCCCGGTCGATGAACAAGGGGCACATGTTTCTGAGCTCGTACCACACGGATTTGGGCGCCAACGTGCCCACGGCTAGCGCATCCTTATACTTACCCAAAAGACACTTCAGGAGCGACAAGAGACTCCATATGAGCGACGGAATGAAGATCGCGTCGTCGATGTAGTAATTGGTCGCCGCGGAGTTGCCCAGCAAGTACAGCGCGCTCTGCAGGATCGCCTGCGGAACCGCCTCGAACAGCTCCTCAACCAGGCCCCGGGCGGCGACATAGGCGTCCAGAGAAACGACCTTCCCCCAAACCACTGGGTGAACGCCGAAGCGCAACAAGATTGCAGCCGCGTCAAGAACAACCGCGGCTGCAACCGCAATCGGCCACGTGGCAACCGCCCAACACAATTGTCGGAGGCCCACCGGCGCCGGGGCCCCCGGGTGGGAGTACGCGTAGTCTGCCACCAGCCACCAGTGAAAGCCAACAACCGCCCGCTTGGCGCCAGGCTTCACGGCGGCGCCGCGCGGCACGCTCCAGGCCTCGCCCCACCAAGACGCCCCAAGAAAGAGCCCGGCAACAGCGTATTGCGCGATGATGAACGCCAGCAAGACCCACTTAACCCACGTGTCGAGCCGTTGAATCCACACATCGCGCAGCACTCGCAGGTCGAGCGCCAGGTCGATCACGTGCCAGGCTGCGCCGCCGATGCCCCAGAGGAAGAGGCGTGCGCCCTTATGCCAGCTGTGTGCCCGCGCGCCCCCCGACGCGGGAGGCTCGAACGGCTTGAAGGCGTGCCACACTCGCAGGACGATCATGCCAAGCAGGAGAGCCCCTCCGGTTGATCCCCACATGAGCCCGATCACGAGCGCGGCGCGCGCGTTGCGGCATAAGTTGCCCGGCCGGGGGGGGAACCGGAGGCCCGTCAAATGGGCCCCCTCGGGGCCCAAATCGATCTCGTCGAGTTGGACGATAGGCACCAATCCACGGCCAACAGCCGGGTTGGTGCGCCGCGGCAGCTCGTATCCCGGGGGCCCCCGGAAGAGTACCGTGATGTTGCTGAAGCAAACTTGGCGCTTGACGCCGGCCGACACTTGGGTGCTCAGGTTGCTACCGAGGAAGTTGACGGCGCACCCGTAGGCGCCGGACTGGATGCAGCGGGTCCAGAACCCGGGGAGGACTGACTCGATCTTTCTGCCCGCGAGTGCAGGGGTATCCGAAAGGGTGAGCTCGTCCATGCTCTGCGGACACGAAAACGGCGGACGGTCAGGACATTACGTGAGGCTTGGTCCGTCTTGATGATTACGGGAGTCACATTGAAAGAACACTTGATACCTGAGAGACGGGGTCTTTACCACTGTTTTTCTGTCCTCTTATGAAAGGAGTCCTAGTGTCTTGAAACAGTGCGAGTGAGAACCGACGTTCGAGGTTTTCTGCAAACTTTGGGTGGACACTTTGAACGAAGCTACCATTTCCGCATCTCACGTACTGTAGAAGTATATTACATGAACAAAGAGCGGCACGCTACACCAATCTGATGTCAGCTGACCGTCTCGGATTGTTCAAAGATCCCGAAGCAAACTGGTCAATTGCAGAAACATGGCAGAGAAGCGTCTCACCGGGAAGGAATTGTTCCCTGACGTCAGAAACGCCCAGCTGTTGGGAATCTTTGTGACACCGTTGCCGCTGATGTTAAGCATGTTTAGTGGTCGAAACGCGCGCTTGAAGCCCCACTCTATCGGCAGGGTGCGGATCCTGTTTCCTGCCAGGTCTAACGACGACAGTACGGTGAAGCGTCCGTCGCTGTATGACGCGGGAAGCTCCTCGATCAGGTTATTGCTTAGGTTCCACTTCAAGAGGGAGGGGAACGTGTTATTGAGCCCCCAATTTGCGGGCAGTGTGGCAATCCTATTGTTCGCCAGGTTCAAGTCAATGATGTAGGATGTTCTCCCGGGCGTTCCCCAGGCGCTCGGAAGGGCAGAAATATGGTTCCCCGAAGCGTCGACATTAACAAGATTGGACAAGGAGCCGTTCGCGAAGAACGCGTCTGGCAACTCCTCTAGCTGCCCACCCGAGATGTCCAGCTTACTCAAACTCGGGAAAATGTTTGGGCCGGACCAAGAAGGGGGGAGACGAGTGAGACTGTTGTTCCCGATCTCAAGAAACCGGAGGTTGGAAAACAGCCCTGGGGTGCCCCATCCCGCCGGCAACTCGGCAATCCGGTTTCCGCTAAGGGACAAGAGCAGCAGGGACGGCCATGTGGCAGCGGAGCTGACTGCCGGAGCCTTCGTCAGCAGGTTGTTTTCCAGCACGAGGGTGGCGAGGTTCGGGAATGCCCCCGGAGTGGTCCACGTGGCGGGCACTGACGCGATGGCGTTGTTCACCAGCCGCAGCTTCGAGAGCACCGGAAAGCGGAAAGGGCTCCCCCAGGCACTCGGAAGAGCGGCGATGCGGTTCCCATCCAGCGACAGCTGTTGCAGCGCGGGGAATGTGGACAAGCTTCCCCAACTGTCTTGCAGAGTCGTCAGCTGGTTGTCAACCAAAGTAAGTGTCTGTAAGGACTGGAAAGTGGTGTTGGTCGCCCAAGAAGCTGGAAACGCAGCAATCCGATTCTGGTCCAATGACAACTCCTGCAGCTTGGGGAAGCCGCCATTGGTGCCCCAGGTTTCCGGAAGAGCCGCGATGCTGTTATTGTCCAGCACCAAAACTGTAAGCTGCGGAAAGGAGCCCGCCGCGCCCCACAATGCGGGAAGTTCGCTGATGCTGTTTTCGATCAAAGACAGCAACCGAAGCTGGGTGAAGGCCCCGCGCTGCCCCCACGATGCCGGGAGGATCCCGGTGATTTGGTTCCTCGAAAGGGAGAATGTCCGAAGGGAGGGGAAGAAGGGCAAGGAGGCGGGGGCGTCTGGTAGGAAGCTGATCTGGTTTGACCCAAGGCGCAGCTCAACCAGCGCCGGGAATGCCCCGTTGGTACCCCACTCAGCGGGAAGCATTTGCACCCGGTTGAAGGAGGCCCAGAGTTGCGCAAGCTTGGGAAATGCCGCCGGGGCGCCCCACCTGGGGGGAAGGTCGTTGATTCTGTTGAAGGTGAGGTTGAGAAGCCGCAGCTCGGGGAAGGCCCCCGGGGAGGCCCACGTCACGGGCAGGTGGATGATGCCCTGGTCAACGAGGGTTAGATTGACCACCTTGGTCAAGCACGAGCACGGGCCGTCCCATGGGAAATCCGGAAGATTGCCGTTGCGAACCACGCAGGCCCCGGCTTGACCGGAGCAAATGGTTACAGCCGTCTCTGGTTGAGCCAAGAGCGCTGGGCACAGCACGACCAGGGACGCCAACCAGAAAAGGGTGACGGAGCAATAACGTCTCCCCATTGGAGGTGTGAATTGTTGGTGACTGGCTGTGGACTCTCTTACGGAAAGAGCCACTCAGGCCTTCAACGTCTCTGCAACGAAACGGCAGTGCTTTAGGCAGGTTCCTTAGGAACAGAGACGCTACAGCATCCCAGCAGCAGACTCTCTAAAAGGCTCTACGGAAGAACTAACATTCCGTCTTCTGGTGACTCGAGTTTTTTTTGATGCTTTGAAGCTATCAGGCTGTCAGGCAGAATTTCTAATTGGCATCATTCCCTTCTCTACCAAATTCTGTTTGTCCTTTTCGGTAAGCTTGAGTCGCAAACGAATGAGGAGCCAGAAACCATGACAAGAAGTATCGACGTCGGAAGTATAGAAGCCTTTTTGGTGGATAATGGCACTGTGTCGGACGGTTATTGAGTCTGAAACTCAGCAAAATAGGGGTTGGTGAGGAGGCTGAGGCCGAGACTGGCCTTGTCGACAATGTCGACATTAGCTACCGTATACCACTCCAGAGTGTGTGTGTTTCGGACCGGTACGGACCGGTACGAGCATCTAAGGGGCTGTTTATGTGGACATATTTTGAGGGTTGTGACGCCATGAAATCGCGTGCCAGACACCACGTGGCGATCTTGGCCAGGATATGTGGCTCACACCGAACTCAGACCTGAGTGGCAGTGTGGCCGATCACCCGAAAAGGCCGGCTACTATCCTTTCTATTTT